ATCCTCCTGCCTCAGTCTCTTCTTCCTTCCCCTCCCCTCCCCTCCTCTTCCCTCCTCTCCTCTCCCCTCCCCTTCCCATTCCTTCCCTTTCTTCCTTCTTTCTGTCTTCCTTTCTCCTCCCTCCCTGCTCTGTGTATGTGTGTGTGTATTTTCCCATTCATTTATACATTCTCGGGGTGTTTTCATGAAAAGTGGTCAATTTCTTCATGCATAAACTAAATTTACAGCTTAGATTTTCTTCAAAGTTTACTGGGGCTTTAAGGATTCTTGTGAAGAGGTGGATACACACTTGGTTTTTACAGGATTCTTACTCAAGCCTTTGACATCATTTCCACACTCCTGATTTGTCACTCATTTTTAGCGATCACCTTCATGGCCTTTACAAAGTATTCAGTCTAGTCTTTCCACGTAAGCTAATTTCACAGTGAAACTACATATACACAGAGATCACTGTACAAGCCAAACTGCCTCAGTCTCTTGAGTGCTGGGATCACAGACACATGCCGTCATGCTCAGCTCTCTTTAGACTTTAATAAAGGAACAGAGCCAGTGCAGAAACCAGGCAGAGGCATACTTCTGGGGACTCTTGTCGGCTTGCCTCAGGGTGGTATTTCTCAGAGTGTTTCCTAGAACACAGCGTTTGGACTGTTCGTGCAGTGGGCACTGGTGGTGTGGTCAAGTGACTGAGGAACATGACATTGATTGACTAAATGGTCTATCTGAGAACTAATGGACCTTGCAAGCCTCCATGGCTGTGTGTGGTCAGCAGTGCTTGCCATGGTCCTGTGCAAATTGTGGCTTGTGACTAGCATTCCACTTGTGAATTTTGACATTTTCTGAATATCAGCCACAAGGGATGCTAGACATTAAGGATATAGTTATAAATGGGATTGGCAATGCTTATATGTAGAATGTAAGTACAAGTGAACAAAAGGAATTGCTAAGCCACAAGGGCTTAAGAGAATGACCCGTAGAGCCACATGGTCTGACTTTAATACTGGGTGGGTATGACTTTTGTATCTTTCTGATGGTCGAAGGGCATGTAGCCTCTGTCCTTCATGCTCCTTTCCTACAGAGCAGTGGCAATCATATCTGCCTCATAGGAATGGTTGTGACAAAGACAGGAATTATGAGTGCCTGCAGGACTAGACTATATTCAGATGCCATCAGATTTGTTCAGACTATGAAAATAGCCAAATCTTGTGATTCAAGTTGAAGGTTCATATATATATGGTGACTAACTGAGGAGAGATGGAATGCCTTATAGTAGAAATTTCATGTATGTGAGAAATAGCAAGCTAAGCATGAGGTAGGCAGAGAATACAAGGAAAAGTAAGCAAAGGTATGGGATACCCTTACCTTCAATCATTGGACATTGGCAAATATTCTAAGGATGTTGGAGGTCTTACACCATAGCTTGGGAGTTATCAGGCTTTCTGCTCAATTGGACTGACAGGTCTAGCACTACATTCTCAGTTCTGAGGGCTTTGGATTTGACCTGAGCCATGCATCAGGGCATCCTTGGGTTTCTCCAACCTACAGGCAACCCATTGTGGACTTAGTCCTCATTGTCACAAGATCCATAACCCCTAATAACTCATCTTTAACCCATCCATCTGTCTACCCATCCATTCACCCATCTGTCCATCCATCCATCCACCCATTTATCTACTCATCCATCCATCCATCCATTTGTCCATCTGTCCATCTGTTCATTATTTGGTTTGTCCATCTTCTTGGTTCCATCTCTGGTAAACCTGCAAACTCTTTCTCAAAACTAATGAGATTAGAAAGATAGTACAGTATGTGCTAGAGGTTATAGCCAGGGCAGTTATGCAAGGAGATGAAATCTGAGACTTTCAGATTAGAAAGGAAAAAAAAAAAAAAAAAAAAACCAGGACCATCTCTGTGTGCAGATGGCATTTTATATAAAGAAAATTATTAAGAATCCATTAGAGCATGAGAGATAATGAACAAATTTGCAAGGTTGTAGGATATAAAACCAATGCAAAAATATCAGTTGTATTTTTTAAACTTTAAATGAATAATGTAAAATGAAGTTTTTTTTTTCTTTCATGTAGCAGCACTACAAGAATAGGAATAAATTTAGCACGTGTCAAAGGGAATACTCTTCACTATGGAATATCATTGAAATAAATTTAAAAAAACAAATAATTGTGAAAACATCCCACTCAGTACTTCTAGCAGGGCATAATGGCACATGCCTGTGAACTCAGCATGCAAAAGGTGAAGATACAAAGAGTGGTGAGTTTGAAGCCAGGCTGGGACACATATCTAAGCCCTGCCTCATAATGGAAAAAAAATCATTACTTGTCCAATTTATCCATAAATGTGATTCAGTCTTTATGAAGCTTCAGTGGGATCCTTTGCAGTTAATACTACCACTGATATGGAAAATCAATGGAACCAGGACAGCCACAACAGGCTGAAAGAGAACCAAGCAGAAGGGTCAGCCTTCTCATTTAAAACTACTACAGTAGTCAGGACCAGGAATCAGGTTAGAAATGAAGACACATGGGATATAATTGAGGGTCTAGAAATAAATCCATACATTTGTGGTCAATTGATGTTTGCCAGTTTAGCAAAAACAATTCCAAGGAGGAAGAGTGGTATCACTAGAACAGGGCCCTGTGTGTGACAAGAACAGAGGCTGTCCACATGCAGAAAGAGGAGACTAGAGTCTCTACCTCACACTGTGTCACAAGAATTATTTCAAGATGGATCAAAGCTTAAATGTAGGAGCTGCATGGTTAAGTGATCGAAAACTCACAAGAAACTAGAAGAAAACATACATTTAAGAATTGTTGATGGGGTGGTTTTTAACAACATCGAATGCACAAATGACAAGAGAGAAATGGATGAAGTGACCCTTATTAAGATTAAAAGCCTCCATTTATAAGATTTATAAGATGCAGGAGCAAGAAAGTGAAAGGGCTGGAGATGCTGGCTGCTCGGAGGTCAAAACTCCTGCCATGCAATCACGAGGACCTGCGCTTGGATCCCAGCACCCACTATGGAAAAAAAAAAAAAAAAAAGCTAATATGGTCCTGCACATGCTTGTAATCCCAGAGGGCACAGAGATAGAAGGATCTCCAGGGCATTCTGGCTGCCAGCTTAGCTGAGAATGCAAGGTCCAAATTCAGCAAGAGACCCAGCCTCCAAAAAGATACAAGGCAGAGAGTAATAGAGAAAGAAAATGGACACTCTCTGGTATATGCGCCTGCTTATACTTATAACAACCCATACCACACAAAGAGAGAGAGAGAGGGAAAGAGAGAGAGCGAGAGAGAAAGATGCTGACTGTGGTTCTTTCCACCTCCATTAGCATACCCCCTCAATTCCCAGGCTTCTTTAATAATTTAGATGATTGAAAATTGCTTTTGAGACACATGTTCCTTCAAGTGACAACCCAGTCTTCCCTCCTGTTGGGAAACTGTTTCTGGGGGAACAGGCTGCTCCTCAGACTGGAAAGTCTTATTAATATGTTTTGAGAAAATATTGTGGTTTGAGCCCAAGCACAGGGGCTTATTTGGATGAATCTAGCAATATTTGCTTTTCCTCGTACAAGGTGTGTGTGTGTGTGTGTGTGTGTGTGTGTGTGTGTGTGTGTGTGTGCATGTGTATGTGTGTGTGCATATATGTGTGTGTGCAGATGTGAACACATTATTTGTTGAGTCAGAGTTTTCTCACTATGTAGCCCTGGCTAGCCTGGAATTCAGTTTGTAGACCAGGTTGGCCTCCAATGGTGAGTCAGAGTTTTAAAGTTATAGTTGAGTGTCACTAGCTAAAACATTCAACCTTTTCTTTTTTGGAATATAGACAATCTGTCACAGTGAAAACGTAAAATCCCTTGTTTTCTCTGACTAAGTTAGCATGGCGCTAGAGAATGCTCTCTTTTCATTAGCCTCAGTTAATACCTCCTGGTATAAGCAGTTGTATATGTGTGTATGTGTTGCTTATTTTTGACCCATGAGCTGAGAGTTGCTTGGTTATATTTTATTATAGGACATAGGACATATGTCTTGGGGGTTTTGAGAAAAAAAAATTTCTGTTTCCAGTATTAAATGTGGCTATTCCAGAAGAGGTCTCTTAACTATCTGGAACACAGGTTCACAGGGTTTTAAAATTTATTATTTTGGAAACATTGAAGTGAACAAGATGGCTCAGCAGATAAAGGAGCCTACTGCTGAGCTGGGCTGATGACCGAGTTCAATCCCTTGGACCTACATGGTAGAAGGAGAGAACTGACTCCCACAAGCTGCCCCCCCTAATCTCCACATGCATACCAAGGCACACAGGTGCCTGCACATAGATGCACCCATGTAAATAAAATTTTAAAATGTAATGAAAAGCTATAGAAATATTATTAGTGTTGTGAGCTACTTAATGAGATGTTATATGCTGTCTTCACAGACTCCCTGACTTTAAATGACTTTAAATCTTGGGTGTGTTTCGTTGTTTTGTTTCGTTTTTGAATTTTGTTTTCAGTTGGTTTAGGACTTTAATGTCTATCAACTTGCAATCACAGGAAAATTAAGTGGTTATCTAGGAGGGATTTTTTTGACCTTCGACCCTACCAGGGCTGTGCTAAAGGATACTTTCGATTGCTTGATATTTCAAGAGTAAGAGAAAGTGCTACAGAGACGAAGGGTTAAGAAGTCTCTGCTGGGGACCAAACCCTGGAGCCAGGCTGCAGCAGGCCTCATCATGGCCAGGGCCAGGCCAGGTTAGTGTGCTTGTTTTCCAGTTCTCAGGCCGCTGTGCGTAGCAGGTGCTGTTAACATGCATCTGCTTTGATGGAGGAGTTCCGATTCCATCTGCTTAGGGTGGATCTGTGCAAATCGCTTTGTTTCTCAGAAACATCTTATTTGTCTTGGGCAGTAGCCAGGCCTCTAATGTGGGTGGTGTGTGCTGTGTCGTAAACCTCAGGCCCTAGAGTCCAGGCCTTGCCTTGCTGTCAGCTCAGACCTTTGTGTGAAGCCAGCCAGAGCTTGTGGGGGACTTCAGGGTAGAGTGAAGGAATGTGCTCTCGCTTGTGTGGATAGATGGCTGAGGTGGGGTGAGCTGGTGACATGAAAGGACATCAGAAGAGGCCAGGTAAGGAACTTGGAGCTTTCCTGTGCAGTGCCGTGGAGCTGTGTTTGGACAGCTGCTTGGTGCTCCATGGGCTGTGGGAGGCCTTTGGTTGTCACCCATTCTTATCCTGTCAGGGATGGCTAGTCGTTGATGATGCAATTGGCTTCAGGACAGTCAGTTAAACAAGCCACTAAAATTCTAAGTAAAATTGTACATCTGTCTTCCCTCCTGACTTCTTTCTCTCCTCTCCCCCATCCTTTCCCTTCATCCCTCCTTCCCTCTGCTGTCAACTACCAAAAATACCAAGGGTATCCAACTCTCTAACAGGCAAAGTCAGCCAGAATATGGCCCTTCTAAAGGGATCACTCTTTTAAAATCTCTTATTAAATCTAATTAATCTCTAGGTCTAATTTATAATAGACTTCACCTTGGGATGGGAAGGAGGAACCGTGGACAGTTGTGACACACTTTTGTGCTTCTGAATGCCTCTCTCCCTGTCTCAGTCTCTCCACCCTGCACACTCACTGGACCTTGTCCCCTACCTATAATTGTATGAAAAATAGGTTGCATGAGCTCTGAAGGGCAAACAGAATGTGCACTGCAGTAAAGTAAGAGGTTGACTCTAAATGGGAACAGGTCTTAGTGTTTCTCATTGCAATTTCTTTGGATTGTTTCACTAATTCTCTTTCGCTGGGCTTAAGACTTTTCAAACATTCTTTGGCCCTGGGAGGGAGTTGTATAACCATAAAACTTGAGAATCCTGGCCCTGGAATAAATGTTCCTTTAAAACCCCAAGGACAGAAAATTGAAGACAGCTGTGCAGAAGAAAGAAAGAAAAAAAGAAAAAAGAAAAAAGAAAAAAAAAAAAAAAAAAAAAAAAAAACAGAATGCTGGTTCCGGGCTACAGGCATCCTGACCAACTTTCCCAGGGCACTCGGGCTGTGCTTCCTTGGAGATGGGAGACAGGGTGCTGCTTCAGAGGAGGGCCAGCACTTCCAGAGGGCTGTGCTGTTGCTGGGCGGGGTGCAAGCAGCTCTCTTCTTGATTGCCCTCTGCTCAGGCTGTGGTCCTCCCTGCAGAGGATTGGGGTTTCTAGGTCATTTTGTGAGACATCATGATTGCACAGGACTTACAGGCCCTAGTCAAGTAACCTCAGAGCCTTAACGCAACCCCCCACCTTCACCTCCCGGTCAGAAGAACACAAGCAGTTCCCCTCTGCTCCTGTGGCCATGAAGCTTCGATGCCCAGTATGAAAAGTATGAAGGTGGTCCTGAGAACAAGGCATTCCCCCTCCCACAATCTCAGTCCAAGTATGAAAACCAGGATGTCCATCCTGACGTTTGCCTGTTGGATCCCTCTATTTGGGCTGTGGTTCCCAAGGAGCAGTCACCATGGGCCCTAACCTTGTGGCAGCCTGGCATTAATCACTTCTCTTTGTCAGAGCGTGTAACTATGATTTGTACTTCTTCCTCTACAAGATTAGATTACTGTAATTTTCATATCCTGGATGGCCCACTAGGGATTTCAATTAATATTCGTTGGTACAGGAAGCAGTCTCATGTTTCTGGGGAGAAAGGAGTAAACTTGCCTGCTTGGCCATCATCTGAACACATTAGGCAAGGCCTCTCTGAAAAGCGATCCTGCCTTGAGGACTCACCATATCAGATAGCTGTCCATGAAGGATGCCGTGCCTCTCATGAGTATGGTCCCTGGGAGGTGGATTTACTTAAGTGATGCCAGGCCTGTGGGATAAGAATGCATGGAGAGAGCCAGGGAACTCCGGGCTGACATAAGACTGTTTAATGAGAGAACTCTTCCCCAAAGAGGTGCTTTGGAAGGGGGCAGACTAATTCAGCCATGTGGGATCATCTGTGTGATCACAAGATGGGAGGCAAAAGCACCACAGGGGGGCAAGTCTGCCTTCAAAACATGCCTAAATTTGGTATTTTTTTCTATGGGATGTGTGTGTGTGTGTGTGTGTGTATGTAGACCACAGGTGTATGTATAAGGTGTCTTCCTCAGTCACTCTCCATTTTAGTTCTTGAAATAAACTTCCTCATTGAACCTTGATCTCACCTATTAGGTTAGACTGACCAGCTGGTGAGGTCCAGTGGTCCCCCTGACTCTGCCTGTCTAGTGTTGGAGTTACAAGCTGTCTGGGCCCATCTTTTATGTGGGTTCTGGGGATCAAACCCAGGTCCTCATGCTTGTGTAGCAAGCACTTTACCAACTGTGCCCTCTCCCCAACCCTAGAACTTATACCATTGTAGTTTTTCAACAGCATTTATTGAGCCTAGTCTCTGGAGACAGACAGCAGGCCACAAAGTGAACAGAAATGTCTGCCCTCGCTTATGTCATGTTTCATGAGCTCGTGCCTCAGTGGAGCCGTGAGCAGATGCATGGGTGGAAAGAGAGTCATAGGGAGGAACTCTGTAGTGACTGTGGTCATACAAATATATTGACTTCCTCCCTTCTTCCCACACAGTGGATCTTGCTTTCTCTCATACTGTGACATGGGCCATGTGTGCTTTTGAGGTAATCCTCTGCTCTTTGTGCATAGACATGGGTAGTTCACCTGGCAGGACTCAGCTGGTAACTCCAGATCTTTGAAGGGCTGGTCTGCCACACCGGAGAGGGAAGATCAAGTGTGTCTTGTTCTTTTCTTTCTATTTTTGTTTTGTTTTCCTGTCTGTTGAGTCTCCTTCCCACTTGATGCATGGACCCCACTCCCTTGTGAACCCTTCCTTTCTGGGTCCCTTCTCTTCCCTCACTCCTACCCCCTAGAAGCTGTCGTGGTTCTGTTTTGGGGAATTTGAGATGGTGCTTTGCCTGGGAATGACAGAATCTTGGTTCTTGTAGAACTGACTGCAGCCACAGAAGGCAGCTTCATCCAGGCCAATGCTTTTCAGTGCCTGGACATAAACCAAACTTTCCCTAATGGCAGGGAAATGAGAACTCTAAGAAACAGAAGTGCATGTTTGATGAAACTAAATCTCAGCTGACTTCTATATCTTCTCATTGCTTATTTTCCCTCAACTTATATTGTAGGGGTCCTGTGTTCCCAATGCCCACTTGAAACCACAGACACATGCAAGGTGTGACAATACAGTGCCATAGAAAGTATACAGTGGAGGGTTAAGTGCTGTAGCGTACTGTACTGTTCTAGCAGGATTATTATGCTGCAGAGGGAGTGAGCATCATGGAATGACTATACTTGTCATGTCTAGCACCATATGCTTGTTGTCTATGAAATGTTCATCACTGTATGTTTACTATATGGTGAAGAGTCCAGTGCTATGGAATGACTGTACCATGGAGGGCCTAGGGCTGTAGAATGACTTAAATGATGGTGAGTACAGTTACGGTGTAGATTGTATAGTGGAGATCCCAGTACTATAGAATGACTGTACCATGGGAGGTCCTAAACTGTAGAATACTGTACCGTGGTGGGTACAGCTCTCTAGAATGACTTTACTGCAGAAGTCCAGCACTGCAGAGTGACTGCACTGGGGAGGGTCCAACACTATAGGATTACTATACTATGGAGTGTGCAGTGATGTAGAATTATGTAGAATTACTGTTCTGTAGAATACCCAGTGCTGTAGGATTACTGTACAATAGAGGGCACTTAGCTTACACTATCATAGAAAGCTGAGACTGCAGAATTACTGTATTATGGAGTGTCCACTGTTGTAGAATGATTGTACTGTGGAGTATCCAAGACCATTGGATGGCTATATAATGGAGGATCTAGCATTATAGAAAGATTGTATCTTAGATGTTCCAAGGATGTAGAATGACTATATCACAGAGTATCTAGAAATTTAGAATGAATGTATCATATAGGATCTACTCAGGAGAATGAACACACTGTTCAGGGTCCAGCTTTGTAGAATGATTGCAGAGTTGAGTTCAGGACTGTGGAGTGACTATGTTGTGGAGACTTCACAGTAGTGCTGAAGGTTCAGAACTTCAAAATGACTGTCCGGTGGAGAGTCTAGCACTGTTAACTATACTGTATAGAGTCCAGTGCTGTAGACTGACTGTACCACTCTGTGTCCAGTGCTATAGAGAATACTGTACCTTGCAAGATGCAGCATTCCCATGTTACTGTATTGCTGAGTGTTCAGCGCTGTAGGATGACTGTACCATGGAAAGTCCAGTTCTGTAAATTAACTGTACTGTGGAGAGTCCAGCTCTGTGGAATGGTGGGTGGTTCTGAGGAGGGCCTCATTCTGTAGAATGACTGTACTGTCAAAGGTCCAGGAGTATAGAATGGCTAAACTATGCATGGTCCAGTGCTCTACACAACAGAATGATTGTACTATGAAGGAGGGTCCACTGCTATAAGAGTATTGTACTCTATACTATAGAATGACTGTACTATGAAGCATCCAGTACTCTAGCATAAGTGTATTGTGCAGTGTCCAGTACCATAGAACGACTGTACTTTGGAGTATCCACCTCTGTAGAATGACTGTACTGTGCATGGCTCAGTGCTATAGAATGACTTTACTGTTCAGGATCCAGCACTGTAGACTAATTCTACTATGTAGCATCCACCACTGTAGAACTGTTGTACTGTATATGTCTCTAGGATTTTTGTGGGGGCATCTATCACTTTATGATGACTGTAATTTGGAGTGTTCACTGCTGTAGAATGACTGTACTGTGGAGAAGTCAGAGTTGTAGGCTTACCTTACTGTGGATGATTATTATGATACAGAATCACTGTACCATGGCATGTGTTGTCCAGTGATTTTCCTCTGTAGGTTCCTTGATGTAAAATTATTATACATCGAGTGTCCAGTGTTGTTAAGTAACTCTAGCATGCATGTCCTGTGTTGTGCATGTTCAGTGTTGTTGGATGACTCTACCATACAGGATCTAGTTTTGTAGAATGAGAATTCCATGCAAGGTCCAGTGCTGTAGAATAAGAGTATCGTAGAATGTCCAGTGCTATAGAATGACTGTACTGTGGAAAGTCCAGCAACGTAGAATGACTATGACATGCATGGTCC